TGCTATTCTGGACGTTGTCTGCATCTGAGGTTTGTTTCAAACTGATGAAATTTGAGGGTTGAACTCCCTTTAAGAAAACTATGCGAAAATATTAGCCCCACATAGTTTTGATACTATATATATTTGCCTTTAAGTAACAACTTATACCTGCCTTTAAAAAACAACTGTCTTTAATAGTAAATCACGGGTGTTGAATCAGAAAAAAAAAACAGCAACTATATGGCATTCTTCTATTATCTCTTTTTCCTTTTTAGTTTTTATTAAGGAAAAAATGAGACGGTATGGAGAACCATTGCATGGAGCCTTTCAGAATGTAGGGTATTTTGGCTACAACTAGAGTCTTCAAGTGCCAACCAGATTGATCTTGTAACTCCAGAACCACTTAGCTAGTCTCAGGGTTGTTCTTCCTCTAGGTCCCTCACAACAACAACAACAACAAAGCCTTTTCTCCCGAGGGCTATAAGACATTAACAACTGACTTGGTATACCTATCATGAAGGTATAACTCAAAATGGTAGCTCGCTTATTTGGCTAAACCTTCCAAACAAGAAATGAGAATATCTTGTTCAGTGGAATGCTGAAGCGTGAGCACATCAGTGAATGAGGCTTAACTTCTGAAAACAGGTTCTTTGAAAGGAGCAAATGTCTGGTAAAGGCGTGTAATGGTCACAGGCTCACAGGGTGATGTATGGTGTCAATATTACAGGCATAGCTGCTGATCCCTCAGTTGGAATTCCTCAATGAGGAAGGAGCACGCGCTGAGCTCTGGGCGGTGTCACAGATATTCCTGGACACACCTCACAGGACAGGTTTGGATACATGGTCGTTTCAGCATTAGACATATGGATTTTACTCTCTCCAGCTTAGGATTCCACCAATCAGGCTCCTACCAAGCCCTGACTGATATTTGAGACTACAAATTTGTGGCTCTTGACCTCCTATGATTTATGTATTTGTCAGATTCTGATTGGACTTCTCCTTCCAGTCTCCAAATGCATCATTGGCCTACAAACGCACATGTAGCTGAAATCTTGTAACATACAAGGCAAGAGCACACAGATTTGAAACAATTAATAGATCTTTGCATCATTTGGCGCAGCTAACATGAAATGGTAAACTCCTTAAGTTGAAGCAGGTCCATCAAGAACATAATTTAAAGGTCCATCAAAAACATAATTTGTATAACCTGAACAGGGTAGAAGACTAATTAATAAGTTCTGTAAAGCACCATAATGTTGATTTTTTATACAGGATAAGTATTGCATTATCATCAGAAGAAAAGAATTGCCTTCTCACTCACAGAGCTACCAGCACTGTGTCAGAAGGTGTCCTAAGATTGTTTGGAGGTTTCATCATCTGATACGAAGAAAAAGAGAGACAGTTCAACAACGTCAAACACCGAGAGATACAGTTAAGGATGTTAAGGATTCAGATGCAGAGATGTCTGTGCATCACTCGCTCGGCAGAAGCTGGCCTTGGATCAAGTGTTGGATTATGCATCAGGATACAATTTTTTAAAAAAATAGCAAACAGCAATAAGCTCAAGTATTGTTGTTCATCGGAACTGAACTTTTGAAACCAGTACTAAACCGGAATCTGAGGTGTTCTCGCCACGAACAACATAGAAAAGCCCAACCTAGGAAACACAATATATCATAATTAGATACCAAGCTATCATTTAGAACAAATTCTCTAATGATTTAGTTACATTATTTTTAGCTGAGAGCCAAACATCAGCTTCCGGTGCACTCTCTTGGGATCAGATTTTGCATCGTTTCAGATCTGAATATCTGATGGATCCATCAGGTTTACTGACCCATCTTGCCTTTCTTTGCTCCAACTCATAGAACAAGTCATGGTTGATCAGATAGCAAGATGGGTGGAGCTGGACACTTACCTATCCTAAACCTAGGTCTTTCATCAGCCGACCCGAGGGCAGCAGCATCTCGGACACATAAAAGGTGGTCTAGGCTTTCTGTCTCACACAAGAGAGCAACATGGTCAACCGGAGATGCATCCTCATCCTTGTTCATACTAAGCTGCTGGAGATCCTCAAGCAAGCTAGCAACATTAGCAAGTTCATTGTTGTTGGACTGCATAGCGACCTCTGTTGGTTTGGTATCAAAAGGTATTGTCCTCCAATGTATGGCGCTCATCATCTGCAGGTTTTAGGGAACAATGTGTCAGCCAATGCATAAGTCTATGCGATAAAAATTCTCTACCAATTTTTACATCACTCTACAGTCTGCATCCATGTAGCCAGTTTCAGAGGATTGGTGAAAACAACATTAGTTGACCTGGACACTAACAAAATAGGCACTTCACTGAGCTATAATTCATTAGCATATTTTTTCAAACTTCAAAGCCCCTTAAATCTAGTAAGCACCACTTGTAGTTGTATGTAGCTATAGGACACTCAAGACAAACTGTCAATACATAAAGAACCTGAAAGACCTGTTACTAATGTGCTATTTTTCAATCTTGCCTCAACATCCACAGAAAAATAAAACAGAAGAGAGAAGTGAGAAAGGATTTCTTTGAATTTGATCTGAGCACAAAGAAACTAATTGAATTTCACTGGAGCAGATTAGGATTGCGTACCTGGTTTTGTGTCAATGTACAACGTCATCCAAACCAGACCTGCAGAGGGCAAAAAATTAGCAAAAAAATTAGAGAACATGATAGGAGATTAGGAATAACTGTTCCAACTAAAACATAATCATACTGAGGTATGTGCCTAAAGAATCCAATTACAAGGTTTATGCTGAAGCATTTTTTTATGGTTGTTCAGCGTTCTCCTTTTCTTAAGCAAGCAAGTTTCATAAGATAAAACAGGATAAACTAAACTCAAAAGGGTTTTCCCTACTTTATTTCCCTAAAAAATATAATTGTAAATTACTAGGCTATAAAAGGGTTTTTCCTACTGTATTTCCCTAAAAAAATATAATTGTAAATTAATAGGCAACATTAGCCTGCAACTGCCATAGAAGCAACCATACCTCCTTGTACATTGTTCTGAAGTACTCCTGAAGATTGTCTGCAGCTTCTCCGACCAGTGCCTAAGATGAAAAAGGAAGATTCAAAAAAATATTGCTTGAATCTCAAAGGTAGAACTGGAGTGCTACAAAAGAGGTGCACACATCATCATCAGTGATGCCAGTCTGATAGATTCGCAAAAAAAAAGTGATGCCAGTCTGATCATATAAAGCGCTCTCTCTCTCTCTGCATCTCCAAGAATGGATATAACCTTCTGCATTTGCTGAAACTTCTCTTTGGCTCCCTGGCAGCATATAACATTATATTTGAGATACATTGCACTAAATGACTGTAGAAAAACATTCTGGGTGGAGGCGAAGAGCCAATTTGTGATATGGCTTCTTTATTTCTTGTTGTGAAGCAGTCTTCTCAACTCCCAGGACCAATACATTAAATTACTAAATTGTGATCTGGAAAGAGAACTTGAAAGCGATTCGTGACAAAACATTTAGAACAGTTCAAACTTTTGTCTCATCTGCAGTTATTTATATGTCTTGTTTGCAAATACACCTTAAATAAGGAAAAATAAAATTAGTTGGTCATTTTTGTGTGCAACCTGGCCGTTTTTAGAGAAGACGTAATCACAAAAAAGGACAAACCAATTACTTCCAACGTTGCAGAGTTCATCATCAGTGCGATGAACCCCTACAAGACATGACCAAATCACATGGGATTTGCATCCCGTGACTACCAATCACCAAATCGAGCGAGAGCAGTATGACAATTAGGCGAAATCACTTCGCAGAGGCCCGGGTGAGGCGGCGCACCTCGTGGGCGGCGTCCACATCGTCGGTGCGCACTCGGTCAACGAGCGCCCGAAGCGCCGCCGCGTCGAACGGCCACTCCGCCGCCGCCACTGCCGGTGAGATGGGGGACGCCGGATGCGTTGCCCCCCGCCCGACGAAGCACCACGCTGATCCGGCCTTGGAGACACCGGATCCGGCGCCCCGGCCACCGCTGTCGCCATTGCCGCCAAGGATAGCAGCAGTGACCCAAAGCTGCAGGGAGCCCGCCGCTGCGTTCCTTGCGCCTGCGCAGCCTCCCAGCAGAGCGTTCCAGCAGCGCTGAGGTGGAGGAGGGGGAGAGGGGGCGATGGCATGGAGATTGGGGCGTCGCCCGTGCCTCCTGCTTTGGGACAACGCGGAGTCGCAACAGTTTTTTTTTTTTTTTTTCGGAGGGAGGAGGGAGGGAGGAGTAGGGATCGAACCGGTTATCGCGCGTGCCTGCCAATCAGGGGGATGCGGGGTGCGTTTGAAGCCCGCACGCGTGGGATGGAGGGCGGGGGTGAGAAGCCTACCTTTCCACATCCCGTCGGATTTAGTCTGAGCGTTTTATTAGCTTTTGATTTTAATGAAAATGAATTTCTATTTACATTTTTCTGGGTGCACGTTGAATATTCTCAGCGATGAAGTTTTTCTGGGAGAACTTAATATAGTTTTGATTACAGTAGAGATGAGAAGGAGACGAAGGAAGTTCCTTCAACTCCAAGTCCCGACATGCCAGGCTTGTGGACCAACGCCACATACGCCCACGTCCAGTGGCTGGGCCGGTGTTTTTTTTTTTAGGGGAGGCTGGGCCGGTGATGAGCCACGTCCGTCCTCCAGTTAATGCTCAGCTCGCGGGCCGAAAAACGCAGGTGGGCTTCCATCCCGCGCGTGCCATCGCGAAAAAATAATTTGCCGGCCGGCACAAGTACAGGGTCCGAACGCCCGCACCCTAGCGCTCCAGAGTCCAGATCGCCCCCCACGGCCCCACCCCGCAAACGATTGACTGGCCGCAGCGTCTCCTCTCTCCGAAGCCCTAGCGCCCGCCGCCGCCGCAGATCACCCCCCTTCCACACACACACCCCACCTAGCTCCCGCCGCCGCCGCTCGAAATCCTAAACGAGACGGGCCGCCGCCTCCAAAGCACCCTCGCCGGGCCCCTCCTCTCTACCCTAGCCGCCGCCGCCGCCGATTGTTGTCATGAGCGGGCACAGGGCGCAAAACCCTCAACGCGCGGGGCAAAACCCTCGACCTGGGCGCGGGGGGCCGTACCACGGCGCGTCGGCACTCTCCGCTTCTCACTTCCGACCATCTCGCCCCCCGCCTCCCAATGCCGCCGCGTTAGGGCAGTTCGAAGCCGCCTCCCATCAGTACGCTCCGGCGCCCGCCTCCAACCAGTACCCTTACGCGCCGCAGTTCGGACCACCAGGGCTGCCGCCGTTTGCACAGTCCCAGACGCCTCCCATTGCTGAGTTGGTCAACCCCACCCTTCAGTTCATACCACCAGGGCCACCAGGGCCGCACCAGGAGGAGCCGTATGATACACGGAATTACCCTTTGGTGGATTCGCAACAGCCGCTGCCACTGCAACAATCGCCATCACCACCGCCAAGACCATCTTCACCACCGACACCAGCAGTGCCTTCATCTCCACCACCATTGCCATCACCAATGCCGTTGCATCCTTCATCTCCAGGTAAGCGGCATTTGGAAGCCGAGCATCATCCAGTTCCTAAAAGGATTAGAATGGTGACGTTAAAGGTGAAATATATGTCAGTGTTAGACTTCTTTGATGAATATCAAGTGACTGAACCATATAAGTTTAAAGTTGGATCTTCATTTGGTGATATCCCACAAGCTGACCATACAAAGACAACACACATTGGGGCTACTGTGTTAGACGGATATGTTGAATTCTTTTTTAAGTTACATGCAGAGAACAAAAGCTTTGGTGGCAATTTCGATGTCAGTGATATGCTTGTGTCAGTAGAAGATCCTTTGCATGTAACAATTAACAAGCATGCTAATATGAAAGCTTCAAAACTGAATACACAAAGATTTGATGAAGCTACTCAATTCTCTAGTGAAGACCAGATATGGTGAAGCTGGAAATAGGCCTGCATATGTTGATGACTTCATTTCTCGGGTAGAAGATCTATCTATAGAGTCAGATGTTGAAGAAGAAGCACGGGAGATACAACTTTGGGTCATCAGGCATCATCCTTTACTTATCGAGCCTGCTAAAAGAAGACTGCTACTTGAAGACTTCTACAAATTCTATAAAGCGCTGGATCGTACAGCAGCGGAACAACTTATTAAAAAAATAAACAAGTTCTGCCATCCTAGGTGGCATGTTTTCACTGCGACTAAAGATAAGTTTATCTCTGCTATATACTTGAAAAATCATCAGAGAGACTATGTTGCAGATCCGGATCTTCACGAGGAAAATCCTCACTATTATTCTTTTACTGGAGAGGATGGCTGTCTTGCAGCGTTCCTGCGCAATTTTATTGTTCATGGGCCAAAAGAAGCATTGGTATGCATAATGTTATTTCAGTTATTATCTAAATAGTACTATAATTCGTTACTCAGAGTCACACATTGTTTTTAATCATTGTAGGCTTGTGAAATTGAACTGGAAGAACTAGAACTAATAGTTGCACATTACTTTGGAAAACTTTTGCCCACTTTTCTTGAGGAAATGTCCAGCGCCACAGACAAGCATGAAATGTAAGTGTTTTGTTTGTTTGCTTCCAATTTTTTTTGGTTTTATTTAATTGACAATGTGCTATTTCAGGCTCAAGGAGATACTTACTGTGTATGCTGAGCGGAGATCTGTCTCGCGTAGAGCTTCGGGGTTAAGGATGGAGGACTGATCATCAACCTCCAGTTAAGACCTTTAAAATTTCTTCATTCCTTTTTGAATTTTATGGTGCCATGAGCTTCTTGAGTTTGTATATTGATTGATGAATATGTACTAGACAATACTTCATAATTTGTTCTGGCGCTGTGTCAGTATATATGAAAAAATTAACTAATTAAGCATCGCCAACAACAATACATTTGTTTTAGTTGCTGTTTGTTTTCCTAGTTGCAGTGATTGGTAATGGATTGTGGATGTCTGTCTTTTGTGGCTACCTTGTTCATGATGTACATAATTTATTCAAGATCATGTATGCAATTGCTTACGTGAATTTTTGTGTTGGTTCTAAGATGATAATTTATTTGTTGTAAATCCTCAAATGTCAAGCCTTTTATTTGATTTTGTTTCATGTGTGTCCTAGTTTCCGTTTTGTATTGTTAGCACCTTTCTGATATTGTTTGAAAGAAAAAAAGGAAAAAGATTTTGTACTATAATTACACGTGATTGTCATTCGTTTTGAATTTTTTTGCATATGATTGCAGAATTTAATCCATTACTATTCCCTTGTTTAGGGCTACACTTACCTGCCTCAGCCATTGGTGTTGCACATTTGAGGAATGGTTGCCAAGTTGGGCGGTTCTTTCCTGCAACGGTTTTCTTGCTCAATTGGCATCTTGAAGCCTTTCCAACTTGTTATTCACGGCATAACTCCCTTAATTTGCCGAGCAGTGCCTGTGGTTCCTGTCCTAGAAAGCACCTGACAACCTTTCGAGAAGACGCATACAACAGAGAAATACTTCAACGTTGGACCTTTAGGATTTAGTTGGGTAACTCTGCATTTTTTTACTTATGTGGTCCCTCACCTCAGATGGGGAGCTATCCTCCATTTCTCTGTTCGTATTCGTTAGTGGAGTTTCCCGCACGGCTTTGTGCCACCGGAGATGATTCTGTCGGTGCCGCTGCCGGTCGGAAAGAAACGGGTCACACAGGTGAGGGTACCTGCGGCCTAGTGACGGCCGGTGGTGGACTCAGATCGTGTCGTGCGTGGTTATGCTGCTTTCCAGGATCCTGTGCTGGTTTGGTCGCTGCTCCAGCGTTGTCAATGGGATCGCAATCGCGACACGGGCGCGCCCCTCCCGCTCGTCTTGTGAATTCGTGAGCTCCCCTTTTTCCATAGAATAGAAGAATTGAGCTGTCAGGCACACGGCTTAGTAGCCATCGTGTTTGCCGTTGCCGTGTCAACTTCTGCCCCTAACGGCCTGGCTGCCCAGAGTCTTTTTGACGGCTCTTCTCCCCACCCCGCACATTATGCAGTCAGGCAAACGTAATGGCGCGCATTATGCCTGCTGAATGCAGTCAGAAGAACGTAATGGCGCCGATGGTTGCTTACTCTGCTCTACAGGTGCGATCCATCCAACTGCACGGCTGACATGTGTAGGCCGTTAGCAGCCTGCAGCGCCTGTACCCGGCGCCGATTGGTTTTGCACGGCACCTCGTTTATTATTATTGCTGCCTGGGGAAAAAAAATCCAGTGGATACTGGATGCACAAACAGTCTGTGCAAACTGCCATCCACGCCGCCTGTGGCTGCATCCGAAGACCTCGCTTGTCTCAAGGTTGGACGCCTTGTTTATGGGTTAGTTTGTTTAGTTTAGCAAGCGATGTTTTAGAACCGAGCACCCAAAATTTGGCGTGGGCTCTTTAGATTTTAGAACGACGGGATACAGTGCCTGGCCTGTTTAGATCACCTAGCTCATAGTGTGATCCATATGTCCAAACACCATGTAGCTATCTCAATAAAATCGCATAGTTACCACGAATGTTATTAGTATCTTTATTTTGATAAGTACTTATTAGTATCTGGTGCAACATGATAGCTGCTACAATCAGGACGCAAGCATGCCTCCGAGCCAAAAGAAAAAAAAAGGAAAAGAAAAAAAAAATAAACAGGCCTGATATTCACCCATTTCAGCCGGCAGCTAGGGTTTTTTCCCCGCCCCGCCAGACCTCTAGAAGGATTAGAACTAAAGCTCTTGAGTTCAAAAAAAGAAGAAGAACTAAAGCCCTTGGCCCCAAAGTCCCAATTCCGAAAGCTGCCGCCAAAAGGGTTTCCCTTCTGCTCACCATCCCGACCGCTCGCCGAACCAATCCCAAGCCGTCCTCGCAGCAGATGGCAGTTCCCGGCGGCCGCAACGGCCTCAGGGATGAGGACGACCATGGCCGAACATGCCGAGGCCTTCGGCGGCGCCTCCGACGACGAGGATGCCTCCCCACCTTCGCGCCCTCGCCAACGCCGCCCAGACCGGCGACGTGGCCGCCCTCGGTACTGACTTGATCTGTCTCATCCTCTTGCGATCCTCGTTTATTGGAGCACTCATCCTCTTGCGATCCTCGTTTATTGGAGCACCGCTAGGGCTCTGTGAGATCACATGATTAGATAAGGTTACGTATATTGCAAAATTTGGTTGATTTTTTAGGGTCGAATAGATGCCGCCTTCCGATTCGAACTACCGTCCGTGAATTGTATTAAATTTCACTTGTCAGTTGCTACTTTCTGTGGTATTGCTGCAAATATGGTGCTATTTCTATTCGAACATCTAGCCTAGTGGCTTAGTGCAGTATGAACGTATATTCCTGTAGAGACGTGAACGTGGCTTGTGTGTGGAAATTAATCCATGCGGTCGTGTGGATCAGCTTGTGTGTTGCCCTTTGAGCGGAATAAGCACACATTGGTGTGCAGTCCAATATGAATTTCTTCGGTTCTTCCTAATCACTGAGCAATAACACTCCCTAGTCCAGCAACCAGCAGGGCAGCCACTAGCTTAGCATGGTCATGAGGGAGCAGCCACAGGCCAGCGATGTGTGGGCATGGCCCAGGTTGACTGATGTGTGCCTCTGCCAGTGATCTGCTTATGGCAACTGTTTTTTGTTCTCTTGTTCATTCAGGGCGTGTTTGGAACGCTGCCCGACGGCTCGGCTGCGGCCCCCAGCTGCAAGTCCCATGTTTGGTGCTCTTGGCCCGCTCTAGAGCCTGGCCTGTCGGATGCAAAAAGTTCTCTCTCCTGGCTCTGGGGAAACGACTCTCCCCTCTGTTTTTTCTGTGGCCCGGCAGCTGCAGCGTTCACGCGGTTCACAGCGGCCCTCAGGGCGGATGAAATCACCCCATGTGCGTCGGCTCCTCCGCGGCCTATGATGGTGGCATCCATGGTGTCGCCCCCCCTTTCCGCACCCCCTCCGTGAACACCAACCACTCCCTGCGACCTTGGATGGGGTCCTGCTCCTGTACGTCGCGCGGTCGCGGCGTGCGGGCCAGGGTGGCAAAGGGTGCGGCGGCGGGTCCTTTGGCGGGTGGTGAGGAGGAGGCGGGCGCGGCGAGCAGTGGCACTCGCCCGAGGGAAGCTCGTGGCAAGGGACGTCGTGGGTGGCGTTGGGCGGGCACGGGGGAACGACGACCCTCCTCCTCTAGCAGATCCAACTGCGACCGGGTCACGTCGTGTGGATCCATCAACGACGCTGCCTTTCATGCCTGCCTCCAGATCGAGCGGTGACGCCCTCATCTCCCATCACCGCCGGCAGCCACGGTGGCCCTGTCCCGATCTGCGGCTTCGGTGAGCTCGCATCGGTGGCCTGGAGCGCCACGGCGAGGAGGGAGGGGCGCGGCGCGGGAAGGGCGTCCGCCGGGGCTCTGTTGCACGGCGAGGTCGAAGGCGGCGTCGTGGTTGTAGAGGAGGCTCGGTGAGGCTGAGGAGCCGACACGCGACGACTACCTCTACCCCGACGTCGACTTCCACAACGTCTCTGGCCTCCCACCCCTCGCCGCCGCCGCCGCGCCGCTGCCCCCTCCCGTGGCCTCGACTGCAGCTTCCTCACCAAGCAGGTCACCTGCTGTTGAGATCATAACATCCAAGTATGTTAAAATCTCAGTTTCAGGTGGTTCCCGATCATCTGGAGGCCCCCCGGCCTATCCCGCCTGGATAGCCCGGGGCTCAGGGGCTATGCCCATCGGGCACACTCACGCGCGCCATCCAGCCAAGGGGTTCGACTGAGCCTGACCCTGCGACGCCTTCGGCCTAAGGCTCGGGGGCTGCCCCGAGCCATGGGCGCCCGATCTATGGCACCTCCCGGCCCGGCCTTTGGCTCCTGCCCGGCTACCGCTGCCAGCCAAGGCTTGGGCTCAAGAAGACAAGCACCTGGGCTACTGATGCCTGGGGGCTCCCCTGCGATGCTCCGAGGCGCACCCCTGTCAGCTGCTCCTCCGATAGGGTCACGTCCGGGGCGTGACACAAGAAGACAAAGCTTCCCAGTGGCCTCCGGGGGCTGGAGGGCTTCCGAGCCCGCGCGTCAGCCTTGGAGCCGACCTCCGTCACCGCCAGGAAGACTCCAGAAGGTCTCACCCGGGGGAGGCCGGTCCAAGTCGACAAGACTTGACACTCAGGGTGTCAGAATAGAACAGCCAGACAACGCCTAGGCTTCTTTGGCTCCAAGACACCTCAACGGTCCACGATGCTCTGCTGCAAGGCCTCCGTGGACTCCGGCGTACGTAGACCATAGACTAGACTCCCCAACCAATTTGTACCCGACCCATCTCATTATATATAAGGGATAGGGTCGGTCCTAGAGGGGAGAGACCGAAACAGAACTCATTCGCCACAACACCAAACCGCCTTCTCTGCTCTGAAACCCAGAGCAGAGCAATCCTCGGAGGAGCTCCGACAGTTCCTCCACCGTCTCCCTCCTCTCCGGCGAGGGGGAGACACCTCCGGCGACGAGGCAACACCACCATAGGATTGGCACCGAGCTAACCCCCTACCAAATCTCTCCCTCTACACTCTACTGTAAAGCCCTAGATTCTGGGTATTCTTGAGTGCAAGGATCATCAGCTGCTAGACGTAGGGACCGACTTGGTCCGAACCAGGATAAACCCCTACGTCTCTTGTGTGTTTCTTGTGTTCTTGAGTTCACTCGAACCACCGTATCCGTCGTGCGACAACACCATCCCGAACAATATGCTTGTCGCGGTTTCGACCCCGCGACACCTGCCTCGCCAACGGTCGCCCCGACGATCTGTGGCAGTAAGCCCGACGACTGTTCCCTCCCCACGTACATCTCCTCACCTAGCAAGTGTTCGACAAAATGACTACGAGGGGAGAGCAAGGGAAGTGGGTGGTTAGGCTACCCTTTCCTGGATCCAAAGGTTTCCACATCTACTGGTACATACAGCCAAACAAACACGGTCTCTACTCAGCCTGGCTTATTTGGTCCAGTGAAACAAACACGAGAAGTTGCACCATGAAAGCTAGACTAAAGCTGGCCACAACCAGGCTAGGGGGCCGGGTCGGACAGGGGCTCCTTACCAAACACGCCCTCAATGTTCCATTAGTTTTCATCTTTGAGCAAAATATTGTCGCTCCACGGCACTTCAATGCCGCTATGGATATAAAAAACAGATGGTTACATGCTTAGTGCAATGCAGGAGAAGATAATCATGCCTCCTTTATTTTCTTTCATTATACTAACATCCTATGCTGGGGAAAATAGATCTTTGCTTTTATATTCAAAGGGGCCTTGTGGCTGGTTTGATTTCCTTGTCAACTAATAAAAAGTTTGAAGGGATAGCTTGTTTGTGTATCTGATAGCTTGTTTTTTAAGTACTTGTTTGGTACACATGCTGTGTGCAGCTGGAGGGGTCACCGCTCGTGGAGGCCCAGAATGATAAATTCTTCAAGGCAAAGTGTGTTTGTCGCACTTGCTCATCAGCCAGTCAGCTACCACCACAACCAATGGATATCCAGAACATTCACAAGCTTTCTGAGTTGAGTAGCAGCTCATCTATTGCGTCAGAAGGATTGCCGCTACCATTCGACCAAGATGTGCTTATCCACATCAATTCCAATATCGCCACTGAAAGAACTCAGTTGTCATCTCTACTTGTTGCCTTCTAGTGCCTTGATGTCAGCCTGTTTGAGCTCAACAAACTTCCCGATTCTGAAAAGTATAGAATAAACTAATACTCAAATTTTCATTAGCAATCTTCTCTTTGTTAACGTGAAGTTGATTAACCAAAAATAATAAGCAGTGTACTGAATATCTACTGATTGTCTAACTTTGCTTCTTGACTACAATGATGATATGCTGATATAATTCACCCATATGACTGGTATTTGCGTATCAACTCCTAAAGACATATATGAACAGCGCATCATATCTGTGCCTGGCTGCCAGATTGACACAAATGATACTTTTGTGATAAGTACATCAAAGATTGATCTTTCTGAAATAGATTGCTCAATTTTCCATAAGATAGTCCAAAAGGCAGAAAAAGTTAGCCTAAAAGGGCAATTTGAAAAGCAGCTAAATTGAGAGTAGAATTGTATCAATCCATGCAAAAAGTTATAGCATCAGTCAAGCACACTGATAGTCACCATTCGAGGAACAAAACACCGTTACAGAAAGTACATTACCCCAGATCTGCCGGAAGCCTGAACCTGCCTATCCAAACACGTTTCAATGCATAAACCAATCATCAAGGAACATAAAGCATCAATTACTTACCAAGGGAAAAACAATAGAACAAAATGTTATTTGACTCACAAATTTGCATTCTATCGTGTCCAAGCATACAGTGCCAGACAAACTATGTGAAGAATAAATAAAGAGCAGTTCTATCGTGTCCACGTGGCTTATTTGTATAGATCAGTGAATAGCAGTGTGTGGCACACATCACCATCAGGCCATCATGTGTTACAAATATGTGTGCGATGGAGGCAATGTGGTCATCAGGTATCTCCGGTTCCCATTCTAACAGTAAAGTGGAAAACAGAAGGCAAAAGCAACATTATGCTGCCATCTCAAACCAAGATCCAAATAAATATAGTAACCAACTTATTCTGCAAAATAAAATGTCATCTAGGAATGGACAATAAACTACATAAGAACAGGTGGACAAAAACAAACAAACCTGTCGCCCTGCATTAAAATCCATCAAGACTCCATTTTAATTACATACAAACTTAATAGTATATTGCCATATTGTTACCAACATTACATGAGCTCCAAGTAGTTTACCGGACAAATTGATAAGTCTGGCATTCCCAGCCCACCAAGCAAAGCCGGTGGTTTCTTGGTCACGACCAGCTAAAACGAAAGTTCCATTAAAGAGCGTTTCCACGTGGTAGAACCTCCTCAGGGAATATATCGCTTCGCAGAAAATTCATGCCTGAAAGTACTATTTGCTGATTTGTTGTAAGAGAAAAACACTACTGAATGGCTGGTTGATTCGGCTTACAAGCTCAAACGAATAGGACGATTTTCATGAGGCTGATCCTGATCTGCCATCCACGCACGAATACCCTCGTTTAAAAGAATATTTTTGGTGTAGAAAGTCTATATTATATATGTCATGGTCATAACAAAATAAACTATAACATTTAAATTTTATAAATGGTGAGACATAAATAATATGTGCACAAGCATGTTTGCTAGTATATATATGTTTGCTAGTATCTGACTATGCTAGAAAAACACGTTATGGATATTGCATCATTGGTTTTCATTGGCTAGGACATCTAATGAGAAAATATTTTTCTAACAGAAAAGAGATCTCTTTGTTAATAGTAGATTGGACTGTTTGTTAATAATCTACATATGCATGGGTGAATATGCGGATATCATTGGACACGATATCGGCCATCAATTTTCCATCCAAGGAGGCAAGGAGTCAAGGACACACGACCATGCTCAATAGTGGACACGATGTTCACCCATTTCAGCCGGCAGCTAGTTTTTTTTTTCGCCCCGCCTGACCGGCAGAAGCCCTTGACCTAAAGTCCCAAAGCCGCCGCCAAAAGGGCTCCCCTTCTGCTCACCATCTCGAACGCTCGCCGAACCAATCCCAAGCAGTCCTCGCAGCAGATGGCAGTTCCCGGCGGCCGCAACGGCCTCAGGGACGAGGACGACGACATGGCCGAACACGCCGAGGCCTTCGGCGGCGCCTCCGACGACGAGGACGTGCCTCCGCACCTTCGCGCCCTCGCCAACGCCGCCCAGACCGGCGACGTCGCCGCCCTCGTGGCCGCCCTCGGTACTGGCTTGATCCGTCCCATCCTTTTGCGATCCTCGTTTTTTGGAGCACTTCTAGGGCTCTGTGAGATCACATGATTAGATAGGAGTACGCATATTGCAAAATTTGGTTGATTTTTGATGATCGAATAGATTGCGCCTTCCAGATTCGAACTACCGTCCGTGAATTGTATTGAATTTCACCTGTCAGTTGCTACTTTCTGTGGTATTGCTGCAAATGTGGTGCTATTTCTATTCGAACATCTAGCTTAGTGGCTTAGTGGAGTGAACGAATATCCCTGTAGAGATGTGAATGCAGCTTGTGTGTGCAAATTAATCCATGTGGTGATGTGGATCAGCGTGTGTGTTGCCCTGTGAGCAGAATAAGTGCACATTGGTGTGCAGTCCAATATGAATTTCTTTGGTTCTTCCTAATCTCTGAGCAATCACACTCCCTAGTGCCGCAACCAGCAGGGCAGCCACTAGCTTAGCATGGTCATGAGGGAGCAGCCACAGCCCACAGACCAGCGATGTGTGGGCACGGCCAAAGCGATGTGTGGGCACGGCCCAGATTGGCTGATGTGTGGCTCTGCCAGTGATCTGCTTATGGCAACTGTTTTCTGTTCTCTTGTTCATTCAGTGTTCCATTAGTTTTCATCTCAGAGCAAAATGCTGTTGCAGTTCCACAGCACTTTAATGCCGCTATGGATATAGAAACACTAGATGGTTACATGCTTAGTGCAATGCAGGAGAAGATAATCATGCCTCTTTATTTTTTTTGTCATTACTAACATCCTATGCTGGGGAAAAATAGACCTTTGCTTTTATATTCAAAGGGCCCTTGTGGTTGGTTTAGTTTCTTTGTCAACCAATAAAAAGTTTGAAGGGATAGCTTGTTTGTGTATCTGTTAGCTTGTTTGTTAAGTACTTGCTTGGTACAAGTGCTGTGTGCATCTCCATGAACTTTTTTTTTATCTCCATAGGATAGTCCGATTGTTCGGTATTTTTCAGTTTTCTTCAATCTTTGTAAGCATTCTTTGGGAATATCTACGAATGCATGATTAGTCCTGGTTTGGTAATTGCCATCTACCCATCTTAACATAATTTTATACTGATGTAATATTTAATGATCAAATCTATCAAATTGGGTTACCAATTAACCATTCTTTACATATGCTAACTAGCAGAATGTGTCAGTACATGTTAATTTAGATCTTGTTCCTATATATACTTGATGACTTCCTACACTGAACTTCCCTTCAATGTATCAAAGCTAGCTGCCCTTGAACTTTATTTTCCCTTTTTTTTTGTGCCTCTTTACTTTCAAGTGCATGCTTGGCAACAGGAAAGAAAGTTGTGCATATTTGGTTATCTGTTGAACTCTTCACTTATGCTCTGCTGTTTTTATTTATGCAGATAATCATGATGGCAGTATTGATGTTCCAGTTGAAGATGGTGATACTTTGCTCCATCTGGCATGCTTATATGGTCATCTTCCTTGTGTGCAGGTTGAAGTTGTTTTCTTGTTATTTCCCCTTATTCTCTTTATTTGTAGCTAACTGTGTTCACCTCATCAGCTATTGTTGGAACGTGGAGCTAGCTTGGAATGCAAAGATGAAGAAGGTGCTATTCCTCTTCACGATGCTTGTGCTGGAGGTGTGTATTCTTGGACATACAATAGCTTTATGCCTTTAGTGATTATTCTTTTTTTATTTTTCTTGCCTAACATTTTTTGGTACAGGCTTCACTGAGATGGTCCAATATATTCTCAACTTTGCTGCCAACAAGGATGGTTGTGTAGTGAGAATGCTCAACACCGTTGATTCCGAAGGCGATACAGTAAGTTCAACGAATCTTTCCATCATTCCCAAACTGATATTTTCAGCTGTATACTGCAAGGAAAATTAAAATTCTTCATTTGACTTGTGCAGCCGCTCCATCATGCTGCTAGAGGTGAACATTTGGATGTTGTCAAGCTTCTTCTTGAGGCTGGGGCATCTCCCAAGAAAGAGAACACTTACGGGCAGACGCCCGCTGATATGGCTGACCAAGACACCGAAGTTCGAACCCTGTTGACTGCCAAGCAAATTGAGGCAAGCACACACATGAGTGATAATTAAGCGGCAGTGGAATCCTTAATTGCAACTGGTAATGTGGAGAGGTAGCTGTAATATCTTATCTGCCATCCAAACTCCATTTGAACTGAAGTAATATTGTAATCAGAATAGCTCAGCTACATGATCGATGCTCCTTTTCCTTATCTCTGCATTATATGAAAGATAAAGTTGAACACCCATCGGTCTTGTTTGTTCTTCCATGAAAATCTGCTGCTTACTTGATCACCGAAGCTGATTTGATTTGTTTGCTGATATGTCACCAAGGGGTGTATTTGAAGTAGTGTAATGTTTACTGCACTGATACCTTCTTAGATTATATTGATTATATTTGAACGCTGTTTACTGCATGGAGCTGAAGCCCTATGACATGTCGTTATCCGCTAGCCACTGGCGCCATTGCAACATGTTCAACAGCTGATGTGCTTTTGAAACATCTAGATGAAACATTTACAAGATATGTTTGAAGACAAATAAAAACACTTGAAACATGTGTCTGAAACACATGAAAAACATAAGGTAAAACACTTACAACATATGTGTGAAAATATAACATCCAAATAAACACACTTGCAACATACGTCCGAAGAAACAGATGAAACATTTAGAATAGACGCTCGCAACATACATGTATAGCCATTGCAACATATGCAATCTTCCGATCTACTTTTGCAACATCCATATGAAACACTTGCAACACCTCTGATAACATCTAAAACACTTGAAACATTTGCAACATAAGTGGAGGGAGAGGCCAGGGCCGGTTGATTTCGGCTTCGGAGTGGAAGCTGGCGCCGAGCAGCAGGCGCGAGCACCCATGGGTCGCGCTCATGGGTGCCCTTGGCTCAGTGGAGACCGACTTGAGGCGCGCGATGGCACCACCAGCTCTAGCAGAGGCGGGCAGCGCGCCTGACGACGTGGGTGGGCGCGCAGCGGGTGGGACTATGGGAGAAAGAAGCGAGAGGCGCGGGTGGGGTGCGAGATGGGCTGGAGCGAGGAGCAAGCAGAGCAGGATGAGAGCGCGCGGGGGAAGATGGCCGTTGTGGCGAATGTGGAGTGGGGCAGACTGACGGCTACAGGGCGCTGTGAACCGTACGATGGACGAGCGTGTAGGAAGATATTTTTGAGAGAGATGGAGATGTACAGAGAGGCAGGCTGTTGGGCCAGTAGCGCACAGGCTTAGGAGGCGGCGTCCGATCGGACGACTGACCCTGAGCATTACCGATGAGAGCAAGGCTCAAAGAAAGGAGTAACAATGGTTTTACTTTTCTGGCCCAAGCTAACTTCGTTAAGCCTGTCTAAGGCGGTATGGGCCTGTGAGCCTAACACTGTGTGCTGGACATTCTCTAGGCCCTATTCGACTTTTCAACGAACAAACAATATTTTTCTCTCACAACAAATCAACGTAAGGCAAATTTCAGCGGAGACAAATCCCCCCCCCTCTTTCTCTCTTTCTTTTATTTTTTTCATTGAAAGATGAGTAACACTGCTGCAAGGAATATGATCACTACTCTAAACAGACAATATAACATCGCGTGGGTGGTGTGAACATCTCAAATAATGTTGTCTTGGACGGAGGTTAGGGGTGATTTTGCCCACCACTCATAGGTCTAATTGGTTCCTCCCATTAGTATTGCATTGTATTAGGAGTTACGCAACATGTCCTTAATAATATGCATAAGACTATGCAATTAGTTGTTGCCTGGTTCATTCATCTTAATAGGAAGCTGCACAATGCTATGCATGTGATTGATTTCATAAATAGTTAGACCGAGCCCTGGACCGCAGAGTGGGTGTGGGAGAAAGGATGCATAGCATAGCCGGGTGTGCAATGACCGAATTATAGGATGCATGCTAGATTTGCTTTGAGAAAAGTGGTAGTGTGCACATGGCTTTGTGAATATAACTAAACAAGAGCAAGTTGCACTACAGGAGACTTAGATAAAGGGTTATGCCGACAATCAATTAGATCCTATAAGAGCAACCCCAAGCTCCAGCATGTGGTGGTCTTATTGTGCCACATCAGACGGCAAATGCCATGGAGGAGAGATGAAAAAGTCATTAGCTTGCACGATGACAATAGTTCTCGCAAAGGTACCGACAGCCTTAGGAGAGAGAAAAGCACGTTGTCCTGTGAGAGGGAGAAAGGTATGGTTGCACTTTTGTCTAAGTTTGAATACGAAGTGTGATCCAACACATGGTGGCGCATTGTGAGGTTGGAAGTTTAGGTATATCTGAACTCTCAAACACATTTTGCATATGTGTAGAAACATACCACTAAATTATATCCTTGCGTATGTGTTGCTCTAAGCTTTTTAGTTACCACCTCTCGCATTTGCTACATGTGTGTAATAGGCATCAGCTGACGTCAAGCCAAGGTAAGAAGCCAACAGTGGACGGCGCTGGGTTAGTGGGCTTTTTGGTCGGCACAAGAACGACCGAAAGTGAGATGACTATCTCGAAAAAAATGGTGAGATGTAGCATGTAGCTCGCGTAACTGAACACCCAGTGGCCGTTAAAAAGTCTGAAGTTGACGGTGCTGGTCGAAATATACCAACCTCTTTTGTCCGGTTTTTGGTGGCAAATTTAGAAGATGCTCCTCCGGAGTAGGCAAGATTTCCCATGCTTTGCTGTTGCTGTCGCTTGCTTGTGGCTTCCCGCCGGGCGCCGGGCGCCGGGTGCGCTAGCTAGTGCTCCAACTTTTACTCCTACCTTTGATCACCATTGGTCGCGGTCACGCGGTAATTCCTATGATCTGTTATCGGCCAAGGTTCTGCTCCAGTTGACCGGTTCTCTGCTCCTGCATTCCACTTGGCTTATCTGCAACGGGCCCAAACGCTCGAACCCACCACGGTCTGTTCCGCAGCTGCCTGCCAATCTGCGATGCACGACCGCGACCCTGACACCCCAAGACCGAGGGCCGGCCGGCCTGGTCTTGTCGGTCATGGGCTCATGGTGGTCGTCGGCAAGAAGCGCTCCAAGTTCCCACGGGCTGCGCCCCGCAGGACGCGCGCAGGTACAACTGTAACCCTGTAGCCTGGCTCGAACCTTCCAGTTCTGATTTCTCCGCCCGTGACTGTGAAGTCCACGCCACACCAGCCAACCGCCAGCGCGCGGCAGCGGCAGGGGCCAGGGAGTAGGGAAGATCGGGAGAACGAAGACGTGATCCAGCCAATCACCCATGTTGCACAAAACACCCCCAGTAATCATTCGTCGGCGATCAGCCTTCGTCCTACCACGTAGTCTATCTTGAGATTATCAAAATGGTCTTAAAAAGTGGTAATCGCTTTCTAGCGTTGACGTTACGTACGATTTTGTCCGTCATGAAAGAGAGAAACAGGAGAGTGAAAATGTGTGGTCTAGTAATTAACAGAGACCTGGAGTAGGAAAATCTCTTATAAACAACATTTTTGCATTTTAAAGGTATCATCTTTTTTTTTTTGGCGAGGAAGGTATCATCTATTATATATGGTCCCATCTTACGTGTCATTCGACAATTAGATGCTATTTAGATTGCTCCTAGATAATTTATTTAATAGCTGCTCGTCTATTTCTCCCTCCGTCCTAAAATAATAATTATATTTCAAACAAGGAAAAGTGAGGTATTTTGTTTCCAAGCAATTCATCCGCACACACAAGAAACCAATTTAAATCCTACGCGGTCGTCCATCCAGACGACCAAACCTACCTGTCAGTCGCCATTCATACACAAAAAAATTAACTGACAGGTGGTACCGGGGCCTGCACGTTCCTACCACGTGCCCTTTTCCGAGTTTCCGAGTTCCCTCTTGACCGTACTCCTTTTTTTTAAAAAAAATCGATCACTAAATTTTCCGCTCACTTTTAGCCATTTATTATTCTCAAGGATCTCGGCCCCCTCCTCTTCCCCTTCCGTTCCGTTGGTGTTTCTATTCATATAGATATATCATCCTTGACGATTGACGCTAGATTGCAGCGACCCTCGGAATTACGGTTCGCCGTTGCGGGCATGGAGGAACTCACCTCCGGCGACGCCGCCGCGGCGTCGCTGGCGCAGGAGCCGCGCGGACAGGCGGACGGGGAGGGGAGGTCACCGCGAGAGGCGGAGGCGTTCGAGGACGCTGTGGAAGAGGCGTCCACCGCCTCCGCGTCGCCGGTGGCGTGCTGCGGTGGCGAGGCCGCCGCGGAGGCTTCGTCACCGTCAGCGTGGAGATCGCAGGGCGACGGGCCGTCGGCCGCGGATGAAGCGGAAACGTACGAGTCGCCGTCGTCTTCGTCGTCGGGGTGTGCGGCGATGGAGGGGGAGGAGTCCCCGTCGGTTTCTGAATTGCGGGAGGAGCCGGGGAGGGTGGATACTGGAATCGCCGCGTCGCCGTCGGGGCAGCGCGCGGGAGGCGCGGAGGAGGACGAGAATTCGATGGACACGCCGGGGGCAGGATCGCCGTCCATGGAGGAGACGGAGTCGTGTATGCACTCGGCGCCATCGTCCCCGTCGCGCTCAGCCTCGTCGACGTCGTCTCCGCAGCTGCCGCAGATCAAGCAGCAGTCGCGGCATGTGCGAACCGGCAGCTTCCAGCGGTTCCGTGAGCAGATGCAGCGCGCTTGGAAGTGGGGGCCAATTGGAGGCGGAGGAGGTGGCGAGAGGAGCCCCAGGGAGCTGTTGCTACGGACGACTGTGAACATTGAGGCTATGGCGAATCAGAAGCGGCAGTGGTATCAAGCCCGCTCCAAGTCGCAGGTATGGAACGCACCTGTTTTCTCAACGGTTCTTATGGTAATTATGCATCTGTATGCAACTTTTCATTAGTGGGACCCGACTCAAAATTTGTGAACGGATATCTGAAAAGTGAGGGATAAATCAGTTGCAAATAGCTTGAGAGTTTTAGCTTCACCTTGAAATTGGCAAGTTCACACAATCACATCAAAAAGAAATATAGTCAGATTTTCTATTTGGTGCCGTTTCATACTGATTCATTATGCAGGCAGAGTTTGCATAAATGGTACTACTGTTTTAGCTTCTGATGCTCATCATTTTGCTTCTCTTGCAATATTTGATATGTATCTAATATCAAGTTGCCCTTGCCAATTCCATCTTCTGCAGGATAATTTGCAATATAGGGAACCAACATCGCTCTTTGAACATTTTTTCGTGGTTGGTCTCCACTCTTATGCAAATGTCGGAGTAATTGAGGATGCTTTTGCAAAAAAGAAAGCTTGGGAATCTAATGTAGCACGATCAGAGATAGTAGATCTTAGAAAAATCCACTATCATGGACCTATACCATCTATGGAACCCCAGGTAAGAACTTGAAAACAAATTTAGTTATACTAATTCAGGTTACTTAGTTGTTCTAGTTTACATTGTTGATTCCCTTTCTGACGTATGGCAAAGCTTATAGAGAGCCTGTACTGTCAGCAGTTTGAGCACAAAAGGCTCACTTTGGTGCTTTTATTGACTCTTCATGCTTAAGCCTTCTTTTAGAAGTAAATTGTGAAATAAGCGCTGAGGACAAATTTCGTAGCAACATCGGAATTTCTCCATAAATTTAGTTACAGTTCGCTGTAAATTTGACATTTAGTATATTCATCTGATCTCATGTTAAAGTCCTCCTGTGTTTAGTTTCCATCTGGTGAACCCTAGCTAGACATTCAAATGCGGATAGTCCTAGTTTCATGGGCTTGGGTTGAATCAATTTTGTCTATTATGATGGTATCTTAGGAAAGTGTATACTTATTTTGGACTCTAGGGACTTGGCCGCCTAGGCTGATTTGCATGCTTTGATAAATGATTTTTAAAGTACATTTGTCTTGTACAGTTGCATAGACTTACAATTTGGAACATACTGTCCGAGAGGCTGATAAGTAGAGGATCCAAATGTTGGTGGCACATTGTACATTATTATTTTTTACTTAGTGATCTTTGTGATGGTAGTGACAGTGACCATTTTTACTTAATCATGTATTATCCTTTCTTACAATTTTTTATCTGATGGAAACTGATCTAAAAGCAACTTGCAGATTCTTTTCAAGTATCCACCTGGAAAGAGAGCAGAAGTTAGGGAGGCTGATTTACCCTCATTCTGTTTTCCTGAAGGTGTAAAGGTTAGTTACATAAACTTCTTGGGTATATGAATAGGGATACACCTCTTTCTTATGTGCCACAATATGTGTTCACTGAGCCATATAAAGAGATTGGCTTCTTTCTCTCCTTACCTCGTGATAATATTGATGGGAGTTGGTTTTCTTTGGCATAGATAACTCCTTTTATTTTAGTTATTCTTATCTGAACTTGTTTACTAATTACTATTATTAGAGCCTGATCTAAATTCATCTTGAGCAGCGCAGGCTAACAATTTAACTGAGAATGACATATCCTTTCGTGCTTTTGCATGAATGCTTTCATTCGTGTATTAAGTAGCCTTAGAAATGGACAATCACACCAACCTGTTCCATTGGCTACTCCATATTTTTTAATTCCAAATTTAGTCTTTTCTTTCTTTTTTGTTCTGTTATGATACGATCCACAGCAAAAAAATTTGATATTTTTAAAAACTTAAAATTTCAGGCTCGCCTAATAGAGAGGACTCCATCCATGAGTGACCTGAATGAAGTGATATTTGGGCAGGTGAGAAATCATAGCAGGATTCAGAAAACAATCATGGACTCCTGGTATTGGTGGTTGTCTGTTTTACTGGCTAGTGGCTACCAGTGGTATTTAATAAACCAGTTTTTTAGATAGAGCAATGCTACACATACAAAGTATCCTACAAAAACTCTACCTACATGCTGAAGCGGACAACTACTGCATTGTGAAAGCTTCAATTGGTAAATTTCAAATCACCATGCATGGTTGTGGTTATCCATGTCAGCACACAAGTATTATCCATTCAGATAACAAGTTTAGGCTTGTGGTGAACTAGTGACTAATGACATATTTAGTGACTCCAACTAACTATTGCCTTTTCTTTATCCTGTAAACAAAAATATACTAACAGATTTCGTTTGGGAAAAAAAACGTAAAGGAAAATAATACTTGCTGGTCAAAGAATAATCTAACAGCTGGAGCTTCCTTCGGAGTCTAATGCTCATGTGGAGAACTAGCATATCAATATTTTATCGCTGAATGACTATACTTCTGCTGCCTATTTCACATGGAATTCCAGCTTGAGCATTTAAATTTCCAGAAATACTGGCAGTGGCAGCTGCCAATGTCCATTCTTTTGAAGTATTCGACCTGCTAACTTGTATAACTATTTTTTACATAGGAACATCTGTCTCGAGATGATTTGTCTTTTATCTTCTCCCTCAAGGTTTGTCTATGTCTTCCATTTTTTTCTTGAATACGCGGAATCATTGCATTAAGAAGAATCTTCCATTTTATAATTCCTGGATGTTAGTATCTAGATTATTTTGATATTGCATTTTCCTACCTACAGGTTTGTGAGTCTTATTACATCTCTTGTTTGATGTTTTTAATATTGTTGTTTATGAACCAGGTATCAGACAATGCGCCACTATATGGTGTTTGTTTGCATGTTCAGGAAATAGTTCAAAAGGCACCTGGTATACTAGGTGCAGTTTCACCCTTAAACCCTAATTCCTATAAGCCAAGTCGTTTCTTGGTTTCTGCACCACGTTGTTACTGTCTACTTACAAAGGTACCTTTTTTTGAGCTACACTATGAGATGCTAAACAGGTTCGTTTTCAGATCTAACATATATTTATATATTTTGATCCAAGATTTCATCAATTCAGTTCTAAGGATATGGTGGTGTGTCTATTCTATGAACAGCATTATTGCACAGGAGAGGCTTGACAGGATAACGCAGTTTGCTAGTGAAATTGCTCTGGCTGAGCCAGTTCCTCGTCCTGTGAAAGAACAAGATGGAGTAGACGGTGATTTTGATTCCTCAAATGGGATTCCATACATTGACTGGACAGAATATGCTGTACCTGTCAACAGTATATCAGGTCTCATTTCTTCATCAAGTGTTCCGTCAGAAAGGGACATGTCTTCATTTCTGTTCAGGAGCTGGGAGCCTAATTCTTCCCAGAGTATATCTGCTAGTGAGATTTCAGATTCTAGTTATGTAAGAGAAGTTGAGAAGGAGGCAAGGCATAGTTTCCAGCATTATGAAGACTGTATATCAGGGAACTTGGAACCACGTTGTGATAGCTTTGGGAGAGCAAGTTACATATATGACAATGGGAATACTTCCCCAGATCTTCTGTCCATGCATTCTCCTGCCTCTAGAAGATTAAAGCGCGCACAAAGCGTGGAGTCTTTATCTTTAGAAAGGTGAACCTTTGAATAATGATTTCCTGGTATTGTGAAGTCGTTGAATCTTTTCTTTCTCCGAAATTGTTACTGATCATGTTGGAATACATATCATTGTGAACTGTGACACATCTTGTATGACAGTTCAGTCAAAGGTGCCGCATCAGATGAAGAATATGAAGTAAATGTGAAGCATGAAGTGATTGTTGATGATGAAAAAGTTATAGGATGGGCTAAGGTTTGCCTGACATATTCATGCTTCACAAATACCATCAGATGGCTCTGATTCTTACTGATCATAGACATGATGGTTTTTTAGGCACACAATAATGAACCTCTACAGATTGTTTGTGGTTACCATGCTCTTCCTCTGCCACCTCGTGGTGGTGAACTTGTATTCCGCCCCCTTGAACATCTCCAACCTGTGAAATACTCCCGGCCTGGATTATCCTTGTTGGGTTTTGGAGAGGCGATTTTGAACAATGCTTTGATTAAGGCAGAAACAAATAAGGTAGATGCTTGACCTGTCATGACTCTAGCCTGTAGTATCATTCCTCCACTTCCCTAATCTTGAAACTTGAATGTAGCTCAATTCACATTTGGCGGCTGCAGAAGAAGCTCTTGCATTGTCGATATGGACTATGGCTACAGTTTGTCGTTCTCTCTCTCTGGAAAGTGTATGTTGTGATACTCCCGGTTTTTCAGTTTATAGAAACAGTATGGGGGGGCCTACTGCTATGTATTATAAAAAATATTAGGTCACAAAAACTAAAAGAAATCCTGTAAAAGGGTTCATAAACCCTGCAAAATGGAAGCAGCCAACTAATTCAGTGCTGAATTGAGAAACAACTACAAACTTAGCCTTATACTCAAACAATAGTCGGATCAAGAAATTTGATAGTTAATAAATAGAACTACTTCTTTGGTGGTACATGGATTCAGAGTTAAGTAGTAGTTCATTTGCAAAGAATATTTTAAAATATGCTCTTGAACTCAGAACTATTTATATGGGCAGAAAATTTGCTCTTCAATTACTAGGATCATCTTAGTCAAGACTCAAGACCTTTTCTCAAGATATAATATTGACAAGAAACATTTTCTGCTATCTTTATTTTTTGGCTGTTTGTGAAATTCCACAAATAAGACCTGTATGCTCTAGCATTACTTATTTTTCTCAATCTACAGGAAGAAGTGAAGTGAGAGATCTCATTAGTTCTTGACCCAACCAAACATTTTTTTTTGAACCGTAAATACAGCAGGGGAGGCCCCCACTGTAATAAATTTTTATTAGAACCAAAGAAAGAACTGTACAAACAAAAGAAAAAGGTGAGCAAACAAAAAAGACTGTACAAGCCTGAGCAGGGTGAGAAACAAAACTTAGCCAAAGAGGCTTAACAGGGAAATGAAAGCTGGTCTTTTTGAATCACAATACACTACTTTTTTGCTATGTAAAATATAGGTAATTAAGACCGCACTAAATATAGGTCACATCCATGCAATTCTGTTTGTTCAGTTCGATCATTTCTAATCCATTTTAAGATCATACATTTGGTATCATGGGGCATAATATAAATGGTAATTGCTATCTTGGCTGTTCATTTTTGCATAAAGTTATTATTTTCTCCTGAAGGTGCTAGGATTATTTGCTGGAGTTCTGCTGGAGAAACAAATTGTGGTAATATGCCCAAATCTGGTATGGTTTTTATTTGAGCATTGTAACAGTGTGATTTAGTTTCATGCCATCCTTGTTCCCACTAATTCGAGTGCTTCTCTCAAATGCGTAAGTGCAGGGTGTCCTGTCAGCAATTGTTTTGTCAGTTATACCGATGATAAGGCCGTTCCAGTGGCAAAGTCTGTTGCTTCCGGTAAGTCCTGTAAGATTTAAGTTTCTATCTTAAAACAGATCAACTTGGGAGGATCTAGGTGACTTTATATATAAAGAACAAACAAGCACCCAAATTCGACCCAAGCTCATTTCCTCAGTTTGTATCCTGTACCCATTTTTTTTAATACGATATTTGTAATTTCATTTGTTTCGGTATTGGACCATAAGAACTTGACCTTTGATCTTCTTGGTCTTGCATTTACCATGTTATACACTGCTCACATTTATAAAATCATATGATTTGCCATAGGCATAAGATTGTCTGTCGTGTGACTGAATAATTGTATAAACCAATGAGTATGATGTTGCCCTTCATCTAATCTTTAGAGTTGTCTATTTATTTATTTTTATCTTTAGATCTCTATAAAGTTGTGGCTCTTGTGAAAGGGCCTCTAGTTGAGTTGGTTAGATGGCTTGAGTAGCACTCCTGTCCTGGGTTCGACTCCCCATGGGAGCGAATTTCAGGCTAGGGTTAAAAAAATCGTCTGCAGTGGCAGAGCCTGAACCAATATAGGGGGGCGCAATTTGCCAATTAAAACCATATGTACATAGGTCATGGAGAAATTAGTTTAGTACTTATAATTAGGTCACAGTTCACAAGATACATAGGACATACGTTCTGTACAATTTGGAGCTTAGGACAAATTAAACAGCAAAGATTTAAAATTATCTCAAAAAAGCATCCGAAAAGATCTCAACAGGCAACAAATTATTACTCAATTAGTGACTTCTAGCACATATAGCCTGTAGATTTTACCGATTGAAGAATTTGGAAGCAAGTTTTTTTAAAAAAAAGAATTTGGAAGCAAAAAATGGAAGAATCAACAAGAACGGACATAAGCAACAGGCCAACGACTGGAGTACTGCTGGTGGGTGCTGGTGCTGCGACCCGGACTCTCGGAGTTGGAGAGGTGACGCAGAGGACAGGGAAGACCAGTGGCTTGCGGACGGGGAGTTGTGGAAACCAGCGCTGGGGCTAGAGATTATGGGCTATTGGGCTGTGAATAGCATATGGGCTTCAAAAAATTTACAGAGGCAGGGGGGCAATGGCCCACTATGGCCCCCACGTGGCTCCGCCGTTGCTTGTCTGTCCCACGCCAAAGCACATGTCTAAGGCCCGGCCCTGGTCGTGGTCGTTCTCACATGGGCTATGGTGCCGCTGTGTATGGGTGGTCGTTCTCACAAGAGTTCGGGGGTTTTCTCAACCTGCGTGAGAAGGTCTTCTTCTTAATGCAATGCCTGAGGGCTGTCTTGCTCCCCGCAGGTCGAGTTTTTTTTTTAATTTGTGGCTCAATCTTTTTTAGAAATTAGAATAGACAGCTGCCATGAACAAGGGGCTTTCTACAGTTGCTCAGTAGCCAGTAGGTGTTTTCTTTATTTGTTCTGAAAGGACGGGCCTGGAATAGTGTTAAAAGTCTCTCCACTTATGTGCTAGTGTCCTGGAGGTCCTGGGTTCAAATCAGCCTCCATGCAAAAATAAGCAAGAGCAAGACATTCTGAAAATTCCCTTCACCTGAGCCCACCTTGTGTGGGAGCTTTCAGCACTGGATACATCCATTACGATAACATATATCATAACGCAATTTCTCACAAAAAGTTTTGTCAAAGAAACATGTTTTGCTTTAGGTTTACTGTATGCAAAAGCTCACATGGCAATCAAATTAGCTCATTTGGATGTCTATTGCTTTGCAGGTTCTTCCGATGAAATTGATTGATTTTCTTGATGCCCCTGTACCTTTCATTGTAAGCTTGTTTGGCTCTTGAAGCTCACTTATTTGGTTGCTATTATTGAGTTAATTTACAGTGACCATAGTTGCTAAATGTTAGCAATTTGAATTTATTATTAACTCTCGGTAATAGCTGAAGTGTAAACAGTAATCCAATTTCTTTTATAGGCTGGTGTACAACATAAACCCCCTGATATCAAGATGAAAGGATCTAGTCTTGTCAGGGTCAATGTCCAGAAAGATCAGGCAAGTATACATTACATACTATTTCCTCAGTGAAAAAACATCTTGGGAAGGAAAAGGAATATCTAAACCTTTTTTTTTTTTGTAAAACCATAATCCTTATCTTTTTGCTCTAAGTTTTTTATTGTGTCCCCCAAAAAAAAAAAAAAGAGTGAATGTGATCAGGAGTTGTAGAGACGCATTTTACCCACTAATGCTCTTTTACGTCAGCCAATTATTGCACCTTGCTAGATGATATCTTCCTTGTGATATTTATTGGGACATCATTTATGAGGAAATACAATCATGCACTATGGTGCAAGCTAAATGTTAGCCTTGTATAAAAAATACGCAGGTCAAGGCATGTTCATTGCCTCAACTTCCACGTTACAAGGAGCTCGTTTCTAATCTCAGTCCACTTCATGCCAGACTATCTTGTGAGAATTCTTTGGCTAAGAGACATCCCATCTATAAATGCAATGAAGTTCAGGTACTAATTTTTTACCACTCTGTAGATTCATCATTTTACTTTCTAGTTTCTACCATTCATTTTTTTTCTAGAAGAAAATTATCTCTGCACTTGATCATTTAAACTTCTATTGATTATCCAATTTAGTTTTTGACTGATAAACATTGCATATGGATATTATTGCAGGCTGACGTAGCTTGGAAGTTCTTAAATGTAATGAGAACCTACTTGGAATCACTTTGCTCTGACTTGCGCTTTCATACCATTACAAATGTACAGTCAAACAATGACAGGGTTAGCAATACGAACATTGTTCTCTACCCTTAATAATTATGTTGTTTGTTAGTTCTCTTAAACAGCATAAAATCCATCGAGTAATGTTGGCCCTGAATGATCAGGTTTCTTTGCTTCTGAAAGACAGTTTCATTGATTCGTTCCCCTCAAATGATCGACCATTTATAAAGGTACTTATTGTTTTACACAGCAGTCTGTGTTTATTTTCAGTAAGAAAACCACATATAGTTGATGGAACTAGCAGACTTCAGGCCTTTCTGTCTGGGCAAGGCGCAAAGTATGAACAAATAAGCAGATCCTCAGTAATAGGGTTTTTCTTGATGGAACTCCTATGATGCTGTCACGCCATGCATGCTTCCAATGGAATCAGCTTTCTTTCTTCCTTTTTTTGTTGCTGCTGTGCTTTTTCCATTTTGTCTGCATTCTCATTATTCTTAACATGGTGCAGCTCTTTGTGGAGACGCAGATGTTCTCCGTTCTATCAGATTCTCGACTGTACAGTTTCGAAAATGAACGGACATAAAGGCATTGTTCCAGCTGGAGATCAAACACAGTGATACTCCCTGCTTTGGTTTTGGTGTCTGCTTCCTGGTGCTACCTTTACATGTCATTTCCAATGCACAGGCAATTGGGAAGATAAAAACGAGTCACATCGCGTGGAGTGCGAAGGATGTGTTGATTTTGCCAAAGTCACAGCACTAATTAGAAGTGTTCTGAAAAGTATCCAGGCTCGTCTGCAATGTAAGAAGAATACTGACTGCCCGGTTATAGGAAATAGATGCAACTCGGTCTTCTAAGTGGGATGAGGTACTTATGGCGCAGAAGGAAAAGAAATGATGAATATAGTTGGGTTTCTGCTTCAGATCTTGTTTTGCTATGTAACACTAGTGTGTAGTGACTTGGTAATTGCATATAGTGAAAAGAAGAACCATGTATATAGGGTGAGGTTATTCATTGTAGTTACTTGTCCCCGATTTGATCATGTAAATCATGGTCTGGTGCACAAGAAACGGGCATCAGTTTTGATAGGGGACGTTTTGCAATTTAGTGTCAGTTACTAAGGCCATTGAATGTATGAACTTAGACGTATGTTCGACGAGATCTCATGTTTCGACTGGACCTGCCCATCATCACTATTCACAGCAACTAGTGTTTTGGAGCCCTATTTGTGTAAATGGATTCTTGGTCGAATAGATGATCTAAATTCCCAAGTAATGACATCATCAATAATATAACGAAACACGTCGCTAGCTCCACTCGTAACAGTCGGAATAAAAAACATGTTATGAATTGTAACATTCTAACAGAACCATAGCCAGCTGCGAGGCCGTTGTATCGCATGATGTCGCGGCTCTGCCGAAACAATGCTTGTTGTTTCGGTTCAACACACTAACGTTCTCAGAAAGGACTGAAAGGAGAGGCGATGGCTAGCTCAGCAAGCAAGGGTAGAAGAAGCAATGCCATCTAGTACTTGCAGCGGCTGTGCAACGGTCTCTAACCTCTCACCTAACCTTTGGATCATCATTAGGCCGCTACAGCCTGGTGATCATTGGACATGACGACCGAAGTGCATGATATCATGTGGTTCTCACCCCCAACTCAAGCTTCACATGTTCTGGTTTCAAAATCCAAATCCTCCTGGCAGTGGCAGGCGACTATAGCATAGTACTAATTTCAAACTGTCCCAAGTCACAAAAAAAAATCAAACTATCCCAATTTTTTGACCAAATTTATATAAACAACTACAAATATTTGTTATGCCAAATAAGTATCAATTCATCATGGAATATACTTTTTATAATATATAACTATTTAGAGCCACATGTGTTGATATTCTTTTATTAAGTGCATTTTTTTTTGTTGGAACGGGAATAGCAGAGAACACGTAGAAGACAGCAACCAGGCATCCAACGCCCGGGGCATGAGTTCGGCGCTGTTGCCCCAGTCGGCAACCGAGTTTTGTAACAAGAAGAAAGGAGAGAGCATCTCCTTCCCGAAATAAACCTCCTCTAAATGCACGCAAGAAATCGACCACATGTCAACGTGAGACATGCGTCAATGCCTGCCACGAATCTCCTCCAAGCTCCAACGCAAGTACGTACCGTGTACGTATGCTATGAAGTACTGTATGAACACATCCCGCTTCCAAATATCTGCAGTTATGCTGCACTGCACAGCTAGCTGCACTTGCCTATAAATAATCGGCAGATGCCAGATGCCAGTGTGCTAAACCAAGCTTAGTGGACTCATCGTGTCAGCGCGTCACACTGCTCGCTACCTAGCTAGCTCGTGTCCAGAGCAAAGCAGTCGGCAATAATGGATCGCCGCGTGAGCCTTGCCACCCGGAGCGTGCGCGTGCTGATCCCCGACCAGCTACCGACGCTGTTCGAGCCGCAGAAGTCGGTGATGACCCCGCACGTCCGCGCGAGGGTCGTCGGCGACGAAGACGATGCGGCGCCGCCGGAGCGCCGGCTCACCATGCTGGCGCTCCAGCTCGCGGTGCTCGAGAAGGCGGCCAGCCGGCTCGGCACGCTGGGCTTCATCTGGGCCACGGTCGTGCTACTCGGCGGCTTCGCCATCACGCTGGGCCAGACCGACTTCTGGTGCATCACCACCCTGCTGCTCGTGGAGGGCGCCCGGATCCTGGGCCGCAGCCACGAGCTGGAGTGGCAGCACGAGACCACGGGCCGCGCGCCCGTGTCGTGGGCCGTCGGCCGCGTCTTCCACTGGCTGCAGCTGCTGTCCGCGTCCTCCTGCGCCGCGCTCTCGCTCGTCCGCCTCGTCCACCAGCGCTACGGCGGCAGCGAGGAGGCCCGTGTCAACCGCCACTCCGCGCTCGACATATTCTACGGCCTCGCGCTCGCCGAGGCGCTGCTGTTCCTCGTCGAGAAGGCGCTGTGGCAGTGGAGGGTCGACCACCACCTTCTGCTCGAGCGCGTCGCCAGCGACTGCCACCTCGCCACCGCCTGCGGCGCCGTCGCCGTTCGCCGCTTCTTCTACGACTCCTACTCCCGGTGCCTCAACGGCAGCATCTTCGACGGACTGCACATGGACCTCGTGTCCTACGCCGACGACCTGCTCACGGCGGGCTCGCACGACGAGCAGCGCCTTGGCGCCAGCATCCTCGCGGCGCTCGTCGAGTCCGACCGCTTCGCCGACGCCACGCTCCGCAAGATCGGCACGTCCGGGCCCGCCATCGAGCGCCTTATCGAGATGCTCAGCTGGAAGAACGCCTCGGAGAAGGACGTGCGCCGCTCTGCGGCGGTCGTCGTGTTCATGCTCACTGGAAGGAAGGTCAACGCGCTCCGCGTCACCGGCATTCCCGGCGCCATGGAGTCCGTGGCTTCCTTGCTCTACGCCGACCTCGACGAGCTCAACCTCCTGGGGCTGTCCATCCTCAACAAGCTGGCGCGCGACCACGACCACGACAACTGCGACAAGATCGGGAAGACTAGGGGCCTTCTCGACAGGATCATCTCCTACTCGGGCATAGTAGCGAACGGGCCGGCGGCGGGGCCGCCGACAGACATGCGCCTCAAGGCGGTGAAGCAATCGCTCCGCGTTGTGAAGAGGCTGGCGAGCACGACGGGGACCACCGGAAAGCTGCTTCGGAGGGAGCTCTCTGACATTGTGTTCACCGTGAGCAACGTCAGGGAGGTGCTGCAGCAGCAGCACGACGAGAAGGACGTGTCCGAGCTGCACCGCCTGGCGATCGAGATACTGACGAACCTCGCCATGGACGAGGAGGCGAGGGAGATGATCGGCGGCACGGGGGGTGTGCTCAGCACGCTGGTGGCGATGTTCTTGCCGGAAAAGCAGGAGGCAGCGCCCGACCGGCACAAGGACGCGGTCCGGGTGGAGGCCGGCGAGGCTCTAGCGATGCTGGCGCTCGACAGCCGCAGGAACTGCGGCGCGATCATCATGGCGTTCGGCGGAGGTGTGGAGCGGCTGGTCGAGGCGCTGAGTGATCCCGTCGTCGTCGTCAGCGCCGCAAGGATCCTGCGCAACCTGTGCACCTACGCTGGGGATGAGTGGCAGCTTACACCGAGAGGAGTCACCGCCGGCGCCACCAAGGTAGTTTCTGGCAGTACACTCTGTCCACAGTGCATCGGCTATGGTGTGATTGGTCATCAACCATTTCCTAATCTTTTTTCTTTCTTCGTCCTGAAACACAGGTGCTGCGCAGTATCATGGTGGAGAAGACGAAGCTCCTCAACATCTCCCTCGGCCTCGCGGCGCAGATGCTCCGGTTCATGCAGCCTGGGGAGCTCCGGGCGAGCCTCGCCACGGCGGGCGTCACGAACGCTGCGCTGGCGCGGACGCTGGTGCTGGTCCTGCGGGAGTACAGCCGCCCGTCCCTGGAGGTGCCGCACATCCGGCTGTACACGCTGGAGCTTGCCATCGCGTTGATGCGGTCGGACGCGCGCTTCGTGGCGCTCTTCGTGGAGCTCGGGATGGAGGCCGAGCAGAGGCGCGTCGCGGAGACCACCTCCGGCCTCGAGTGCTTCAACGTGTTCTCGGGCAGCGTCGGGCTCAGCCGCCGCGCCGTCAGCGTCGGCTCGCTCGTCGACTCCGCCACGGAGCTCATGAGGCAGCATGCCTGCGGCACATTACAGTCACAGTCTCACAGATACGCTGAAAAGTGATTTACACGGCTCAAAAGTTAATTATTTTTACTCTGTATTCGATTTGATTGCGCGGTATTTGCATGGCAGCACTTCTGTATGCTTATGCTTTCTTGTATCACTGTATTCATTATTGTGTGAATGTGCAATAAAGGGTTATCATGGCTACACTCCTTTTGTCCTAAAATAATTACACATTTTACTTCTAAAAGAATAAAAAAATTACATTTAACTATATATATATACTAGAATATAATATCAACAACAAGGGACAGGACACAAGGTTTAACCAGAAGTTCAGTGGAGCCACCAAGGCTGGTCGACATCTTTGCTGTTGAGGAAGTCACAAAGGCTAAGTCTCTTTCAATTATTCTCTTCTCAAGTGAATCGCAAAGTTAAGCTTAAGAATCTTTACTAGCTTCTTTGGGGCAATACAAATCTTCCGGTGATCATCATAACATTTGGAAGCTCTAGAATAACGGTTAGCCAGCTAAGAAACTCTCCGGCTCTGACTCTCTGGTCCCCTTTCTTTATGGTATCCAGCTAGTGTTTTCTCTTTTTTTTTACTCGCCCTCCTGTCGCTATCGGTTTCTAGCAGCTTGTCTGTTGTGCTCCAAATTATTGTCTTTCTAAAAATAACATGCACTTGATTATTTTTTTCCTTTTTACTGAACCGTAACATTTTTTTGACGGTCAAATCGTAACATTTGCATTGACAACTACTTGCTCTCATGATCAATTTATTCATCAAACATCTATCTTTATTATAATTTGGAGCTGTAATTTTTGACATGCACTATGCATTGAAACTCTCTTAGTTCACCATTTGCAGTGTGTAACTGACAGACATAGAAACGTTATTGTCAGATGAGATATTCCAGCCCAAGTTTATTTGGTCCCTTCTCCTTTTTTTAGGAAACAGGAGGGGTCAAGGACCTTTGGGAGCCTTTCTCCCTTGCTGATGTACAAGTATAACTGAGCTGCGCGGTTGATTAAACTTTGGTCAATAGGATAGTGATATTCTAAGCTTGGAATACTATGCATTTCTTACGGGCAACATATGGAAGACTTGTCTTATCCACCGCAACTGTGAAACTGATAGCACTAGATGGAGAAGACAAAATAACATGTTCAGTTGGAACAGGTTCAGTTGATACAGCTTACAACGCTGTTGACCAAATAATCCAGGTTAGTTATTCTGGGATCTTGATCTTTCTTGCATTGGTATACAATCTCTAACAAGATGGAATATTGATCCATTATGTTTTTTGGTTAGAGTACCAAGTTGCCGTGTTCGTTTCGCTGAAATTTAGTTTATGTTGATGCTTATGCTGATTTGTTATGAGAGGAAAACGCTGTTTGTTGGCTGAAAAGTACTACTGAAGTAGCGCTTGAGAAAGAAATGAATGTGTCAGTCGAGCCTAGGTTCTAAGGGCCAGTTCAATGATGTGGTGTCATGCAATGTGACATGAGAAAGATATTCTATCGACAACATGTTCCAACTTTGGCTTGAAAAATTGGGCATCTTCTGAAATAGTGTGTTTACTTTGGGTGGTGTGCATTTGAGTAGAAAATAACTGGTATGTGTAATGCCCCGTATTTTTACTATCAAGGTAAAAATACTGGCTTAAGGATTATTAAGCGACAAAGTGTTTGTTGGCTCCACCAGGAGCGGGGAGCATTGGATATCGTTGTGTCCAGCGTCCTGAGTGCCCTGAACAAGATGTGCAGCTTTGCTGGTGCTGCGAAAGCCAACAGCAAGGCACCTGAGAGCGCAAGTGTTCAAAGCATAGAGTGAGCTTGGCGTTCGTTTTCGTTCTCAGTGGGCTATGTAAGAGCTTGAACAACTATTGAGAGCGACATTTCGTTTCAGTAACATGTTCAATATTAGGGGTTTCCCCTTGTCATTGTGGTGATTTTGCCCTGTGGGGGCTATGGAAACTAAGGAATAGTATATGTTTTCAGGGAGAACCGTGGAAGGATGTGAGGATTTTGCTTTTAAGAATTGCAGCTATGCTGCACACATGGGTGATTCTATGCCCGCAAGCAAAGAGGCTGGAATTCTCTGGGAGACTGGAGACGCCGAAAGCAATTGCCTCAAGACTGCCAAGACTAACTGGATGAATCAAGTGAAAGATGGCTGGGATACTTTCATGTTCAAGCAAGCGCACAACTGGGGAGACTGTCCACTGCCTGAAGAAGTGAAGAAGAAGCAATCTGGTGGCGCTAAAGATGGTTTTGCTGGGAGTGGAATGACCTGGGTCAATCTGGACCTGGGGGAAGAGAGCTGAGCTCCTTCAAACTGGAAGTTTCTGGTGGTGTGCATATCGGTTGCTTTTTTTTTCCTCTCATCTAAGCACAGTGGTAGTATCTATTCGGATACCAACACACACCAACACACACGGTATACGAACAAACCTATAACTATTCATAGACAACGAACGCAGCTGAGAGATACTAGCAACTGAAATTATTATCGGAGAATAAATCTCTGAGGTGAGGGACAAGCACTGAGTCTGGCACTCGAACGCTGGTTGGCACAGAGCAAGCCACAGGCTCCTGCCACTCGCGCTACGCGCGGTCCTCGCGTATCGGTTGCTTTGAACTTGAAGTGGTGGCTATGCTCAGGTCGTAGAGGCCGTAGCTTTTTTGAAACGTTTCTAAGTTTTCTCTGTCTGTAAGACTGTCTCCAATAAGGAGATGCAAACCCAAAATGCGTTCCTCACAGTGCTTTGCCTACCCAAAAACAGCCCCCAATAGATGACCCAAACACATCACCCATTTTGCGTACCGGCACAAACCATACGCAAAAAAGCATCACCTCTCTCCTCGCTACGCAAATCTCCGATGGCACGGCCGGCGGCAGCGATTTCTCCTGTGAGGGCTTCGGCGCGGCAGGGCCTCGGCTGCTAGCTGCGCTCGGCTCCAGTGCGAGGGCAGAGCGGATTCAGAGAGAGAGCGCGGGGAAGAGAGGGCGGAACAGAGGGAGAGCAGAGTTCGGTGACTGGCAGCAGCCCTGGTGGTGCCCGGCTCCGGCGACTGTTGATGTCGAGCGCGGGTGGTGCTTGGGCACAGGGCGTCGGCGGCAGTCGCGGATGGCGACGCTCAGTGGCGCGGCTCCGGCAATGCTCGGCCCCAGCGGCGTCCAGCCGTGGCGGTTGCTGTGGCGACGGCGGTCACAGGCCGGGTCGCGACTCTGGCGCGGCGGACTGCGAGCGGCGCGCGGCAGCGCTTCCGGGCGCGGGCTGGCCGGGCGGACAGCTCGGCTCCGGCAAGATGAGGGAGGTAGGGCGGTGAGCGCGGTCGTCTCCGGCGGCGCTTGTGCTCACGTTTGCGTTGGCTGTTGGAAAAGGTAATTTTTTTTGTCCGTGACCCTTCGCTGTGTGGTACCCAAACCATGGTATGCCTCTCGTTTTTAGGTCCGATCTGTTGGAGACGGTCTAAGGGGCTTAGATATGGGTTGTGAGATCATGGGTGAGTTTTTTTTTCAGAGAACTGTATTGATGGGTGTGATCCACCTGAATGCTGTAATCTGGATGGTTTTGTCTTTGCTAATGCTAAGACAGGGCAATGCCCTCAAACTCTAAAAAAAATTGTGGTGATTTTGCGGTTTTTTTTTTCTTTGGAGGATCCTACCATTATCTTAAATTAGGTATTGGTCCATGCGTTACTAAAAGCACATAAATTTTGTCCTAAATGATGTATTAAGAACACTTGATAAAACAGATTATGATTGGATACTATAGTTTAACTTTAATTCATCATGCACAAGAGTTTTACTTCACTAAGGTTTAATTTGTTTGGTGTGGGGAAAACATCAAACAAGTGTTCTTAATTATACGATTTTATACAAGATTTGTTATCGTGGCAACGCACGAGCCAATAGAGGGTCGCACAGGCACTCCAGAAATCGGTAGCCAGCTACCCTGTACAATCGTATTCACTGATGATACGAGGCCCCGCATGTGAGGTGCAGCCTGACATGGTTGATGGCTTCGTGTGCGTACGACCTGCGCCCTTTCGTACCTGTCTCAATAACTGCCGGCTGCCGGCGAACCATGACAGGCCACACACCGACACCGCACTGGCGCAGTACGCATCGCGACTTCAATAGTTCAATGTGCTCAGTAATCCATGTCATGTCCTCCCGATTTCTCCGTGCAAGCCTGAGGTCAATTTGTATGCTATGTGTGTGGCACATGTATGGTGTACTACAGTACTATACTACTGTAATTTTGTGATGAATTTTGACCGTACTGCAACATGTTACATGTTGGATTCATCGTATATTCGCTAGTGACGACGATGCCATGGCACGGACCAAAACTCGCACAGTCGCACTAGGCACAAGACTTGGGGAGGTTAACTTGCGACGGGTCCACCCCCGTCGTCTACCTTATGCCCGGTGTTCTCCCCCGCCCCCTTCTCCCTCCTCCGCCCCCTCCCTCGCCGTCGTCCTCGACCTCGCCCTCCTCGTCGTCCTCGCCCCCGCTGCTGTCCACCGCTCCACCCGCCTTCTTTCCCTCCCCCTCTCGCCGGCGCTCCGCCATGGCCATGCTCGCCGGTGATGCTGAGCTTTGAGCTCCGGCCATGGCACCTCCGCCCCGACCTGGCATGGCCACCGCGACCACCGCCAGGCCCCATAAACCGCTCGGCCTCCACCCCCCCCCCCTGCCTCGACGGCCTGCCTCCCTGTCGGTGTTTCGAGTAAGCACCGGCTAGTAAATTTGTATATTGCGTGTCTGGCCCGGATGGTGTGCTAAGAGGACACAAGGATTATATTGGTTCGGGCCGAATGTCCCTACGTCTAGTTTCGAGCTGCTCGTGTTACTAGCATTAAGTTTGTAGTAGGGGGTTACAAACTGGCGAGAGAGGGAGGTAGCTCCCAAGTCTCTGAGATTCGGTTGCTCGGTGCTCGATGTCTGATGTGGTGCGGTGAACCGATGAGTCGATGTCCTAAGTGGGACGCCTTGCTTTCCCTTTTATAGATCAAGGAAAAGTAGGGATTATAGCCAAAGGGA